ATGGACAATGCACATTGGCATGCAATAACGTCTTCTGCTTTATGTTCCATGGAGCACACTGAGTCGCAGATTACACAATGCCATACTCCGTGGTATTCGGCGGACGTCCGGCTCTGCTTATCTCCATGGACACCACTCAGCGAACCGCACGCCGCTTGCACTAAGCTGGAAATGCTGACGTCACTCAGCCAAGCTCAGAACCGCCGCGGGCAGGCTTTTCCGGGTGTTACGTGCAGATACGGTACTGCGGCGGCCAGCTCCCCGACCGGTCAGCGCTCTTTCAGGACGAAGGTTACACAGTGACTCGAGCCATAGACCATGGCATTGCTTGTTGGCAGCGTATGGGTGTGTGGGCGGGGGCTCACGTACAGTGGACGTGGTGTGGACGTGCGCGTGGCACCTTAGATGCGAAAAGTTTCTGTGCTCTCTCTCTCTCTCTCCTCTCTCTCTCCTCTCATCTCTCTCTCTCGTCTCCTCTCTCCTCTCCTCTCTCCCTCTCTCTCCCTCCTCCTCGCTCTCTCTCCTCTCTCTCTTCTCCTCTCTCTCTCTCTCTCGTCCTCTCTCTCTCTCTCTCCTCTCTCTCTCTCTCCTCTCTCTCTCTCTCTCTCTCTCTCTCTCTCTTCACGGTGATCAAATAACAGATTTCACGCGGCCCACCCAGCTTGCGGGTTTTGAGGAGTGCCAAAAGCGTAAGCACCTACTTTGTGGCGCAGTCATGCGGACCGAAACGGCCGCACTTAGGGGGGGGGGGGGGAGGGCGTCGCACGGCACGAACTGGGAATGTCCTGGGAACACGCAGGGGGCGGGAACGCCCATGAGTAACTTCTGCTTGCCACGGGCGCTAGTCGCGTATCACTGCAGCTGGACAGGCACTTCTTCCCCGTGGTCGGGCCCGGCTAACCAATGTCCTGAGAAGGCCCATCCTCACCGGAAAGTCCCGGCCATGTCCCCTCGCCTATAGTTAGCCAACTGGCCTGCCGTGCGGCTACATAGCCGCACGGCAGGATGAGGCTGCGCTGGAAGGCTGAGCTCGTGTGGTCGTGTGATATGATAGCTGCATGGTGTTCTTAAGTGCTGCTTTGTTTTATGTTTGCCGCAGATATTTATAACAGATATTCATCGCAACTCATGTCCCAATGGCTATCAGCCAGAAGTGTCATACAACGTGAACTGTCATAACACTCTCAAAAGGGATTGGAGGCATTGTATATTAAAAGATGCAGAAGTAAAATGCACCCCAGAATCAAGGTCCTGACGTGTTACAATGAGCACGAAGGTAACGGCCGATGGGCAGCAGGGACTCTCCAGTCTAATGTTATCAACTGTGTTAAATTTTCAAAGCAAACACCGTTTTCACACCACAATTTTTGAACGTACTGGCGGCGCTTCTGTATGCATCACTATCGAGATAATGTCACGTGCTTCGTATTGAACAGGGGGTTCATTTTAGGGACCTTCAAACCCCATCAGCGGTTCTGTTTCAGTCCAGTTGTGTTGTGCGGATGGCGCACTCAGACGTGTCAGCTCAGAGTCAGACGTGTCAGCTCAGAGTCGGACGTGTCAGCTCAGAGTCAGACGCGTCAGCTCAGAGCCAGACGAGTCAGCTCAGAGTCAGACGTGTCAGCTCAAAGTGGCGCGAGAACTTCAGCTCCGGGGTCCCTGTGCTTTGGACACCCTCGCGTGCGCAGGAACAAAGTCCCTGTAGTCAACATGGTGCTGGAGGACGTCCATCTGAGCTTTCTCCGTGCAGTTAGCTCAGTGGACACCACATGCATTACGGGCAGCACATTCAATCGCTTCGGACAGGTCACGCCAGGTCGCGCACGTCGCACAGCCCTGGTCCTCTGCTGGAGGTAATGGGACGGACGATATCGACGACGGCACTTCCTGTCCTGCGGTAAGGGCTGTGCACGCATTGCGTCGATGGCATAATGCCGTTATAGACCAAGTACGTGGTCAGTTGGATGCCAATGAGTTTTTGGCCCAGTTTGGAGACGACGTCAAGCGCACTGATAGTGCTAACGCTGCAAAACTGTGACCTGACACAGGCCAGATCCGTACCACCCTCGCGTGCTTACTCAAGGTCAGGGCTTTCCCGGTCATGATGGTCGTGTCGATGGCCTTGAGTTCGCGGGGGCCGGCCACGGGAAGGAAGCGCTGGGCCAGTTGCATCGGTACACTGCGAAATCCCGGTGTCGCCTTGGAGCTGCTCGTGCTGGTGCTGGTGCTGACTGATGCTGGACACCTCGGGACGCCTCGGGTTGGTGCTGAGCTCCGGCGTCGTGGCTGGGGGGACGGCATATGCAGGAGTGCAGCCAAAATTTGCGATAGCAGAGGCTGCCATGATTTGCGAGGGGGGGGGGGCGGGGTATGCTTGCGGGGAATTCCAGCCACTTTGCAAAATCTTATACACTGCGAGCGCTCTACTGCAACAAGCTCCACAAACGTTAAGATGCACATTACATGGCGCATGAATGAGCTACCAGTGTTGGTTTGTCCTAGTGTCTGCGACAAGTGTTTCAGCAGCGAACCACTCATATCCATTCAGCTCCCCGTACTAAATTACAACTGTTGGACTCTACACGTCTTTGCTCACGTAATTGACTATGATATTTAAAACTAAAATAGCTTCCTGATCACCAGATTCCGGAATAACATTCAATAACATCGTCGTCGTGAAAAAACTGCTCGAAACTGAGAGAGGGGGGGGGGAGGGGGCTGCAGCCCCGTGAGCGCTGTCCTTGACTGCGCCACTGAGTGTATGCCGAGCTGCAGGCAGTGTGGGAGCGGGCGATGCGGACGGTCCGCCAGCTCCACGGCTATGGAGCACCTTACGTCAGCGGAGCGCGAGCTGAAGCCGCTCGTTATAGCCGTGCCCAGTACGTCCAGGTCCCGCGCACTGGCTGGGACACAGAGTGCTCTCGTGGGGGCTCGGAACATATCTTATTTGCTTTTGGCGGTGCAGAAAAGTAGCGAATGCGAGCTACCATGAATGGGTGCCGTGAGCTTTTCTGTTGGTTTGCTCCTTCTCATTTTGCTTACAAACATCCAAACGCTTTCAATGTTAAGAAAATGTGGTAGGTGCGTTTGTTTACAGTGGTCGCATGATTTCCAACGGGCTTGTGTGTTTAAAGTTATCACTTGAGTGATTTTGAATTCTGCAGACATATCTTGATTCCTAAACACGGCTTTAACCATTTGCTAAAAAGCTGGCATCTATGAGCAGCTCAAATACCTACTTGTTTTAGATGTTATGCAGCGCTCATACGTTGGCTCATATCCAATCACTGTCTGTTACAAACTCAGGATTCATTCATCATCATCATCAGGATTCTGAAACGTGAGACCGTGCAACATGCCAAGTGTTTTGAAGTTTGCACATAACAAAAACTGTCCAATCCCTTTAACAACGCTTTTGAACAGTAGCAACTCGTGCCTTTTTGGGCCATGGCGGGTCTAAATTTGTCTCGTCTACCAGGCATACCGTCTTTTTGTGACTGGACGCTTCCAAAAACTGTTGCCTACCCTCGTCTGCGTTTGGAGTCGGCAGATGAGAGGACGGTCGATGCACGACACCCTGGACAGCAGCGTCGTCCAGGAGGTCACACGGCACGCCCTGGGCAGGAGCACCCTCCAGGAGGTCACACGGCATGCCCTGGACAGGAACGTCGTCCAGGAGGTCACACGGCACGCCCTGGGCAGGAGCACCCTCCAGGAGGTCACACAGCACACCCTGGACAGGAGCACCCTCCAGGAGGTCACACGGCACGCCCTGGACAGGAACGTCGTCCAGGAGGTCACACGGCACGCCCTGGACAGGAGCGTCGTCCAGGAGATCACACGGCACGCCCTGGGCAGGAGCACCCTCCAGGAGGTTACACGGCATGCCCTGGACAGGAACGTCGTCCAGGAGGTCACACGGCACGCCCTGGGCAGGAGCACCCTCCAGGAGGTCACGCGGCATGCCCTGGACAGGAGCGTCGTCCAGGAGGTCACACGGCACGCCTGAGCAGGAGGAGCCTCCAGGAGGTCATAAAGACCCCCTGGACAGGAGCGTCCTCCAGGAGCTCACGCTGTCAGTCACAGCATCTTCTGACAGCTGCTCTTACCAGCATCTCCCGTCTGTTTGCATTGATGTCCTCGTGGGTGACGGCAGCCAGACTCTCGCCCCGCGTGCTCCGCTTATTTTCGGTCCTTCCGGAAAGTCTGGTAACCGCTGAACAGCAAGTCGGAGATAGAGAGGCCGTTGAGACTCTTTAAACTCGAATCGTCTTTAGACCGCAGTCACTCCATCCGACCACTAATGGATGGCCAATAATATCGCGTCTCCAGAATATAATTAATCGGCTACTGTGATAGTCTCCACGAAGAATGGCGAGCGTTGCCTCCTGATTATATTATTTTCCGTGCATGAAAGAATTAGATGCTTTTGGAATACACTGGGACCAAATTAGGTACCAGCCGAATAAACGCTACTGTTGCGTACCAGTTGTGAAGCGGTGCCCAGCTTCCCCCTCGCCTTCACACCACAGCCCCCTCCCCCCCCTCTCCAGCGCACGCCGGGCAGGTGCGGTCGATACGCCGGCTCATCTCGGCGGTCAAAAGGCGGCGACGGCCGGCGGACGGATGACCTCCCGCAGGGCGTCTCCATGGGAAGCGGCACCAGTGCTTTTGACCGACAGCTTCGCGAGCGAAGCGCATTGGGTCGGCCAGGGGACCACGCTATCTTGGCCAGCGTGGGGTTGGGCTCCGAATAGGCAAATAAAGGGGCCGTCCAGCACGCCCTTCCGTTGACGCCGGGGACTCCCAGATCAAATCACCTGCGCGCGTGAGGCCCGGCTGGGCGGCTCGGTGGTCGCGCGGCCGGGTGTGGGAGGGGGGAGGGGAATACCGGAGTCCGGGTGCGGAGGCGGAGCGTGCCAGCCCAGTGACCTCGCCGCCAGCGAGGCGCGCATTCGTGAGACGGAGCTCCACGGAAGACGTGCGGGGTGTCGGCGGCGCGGAGCGTCACCGCGCGGCGCGTCTGGTGGTGCGTGGTGAGATAGGCGCGGAGGAGGCACCGTGAGCTGGTGAGGCCGGGGCGGACCGCAGGACGCGCGGGGCGGTAGGTGCGGCCTCTCGCGGCACCAGAGGGGTGCCACTGAGCCGTCGACGGCGGCGGTCCAGGCTGAGCGGACGTCGCTTGACAAGCCAGCAGCGATGTCGGCAACAGAGCGCAGCGACTCGGTCCGCTCGCAGGCCCGGAGGGTAGAGGTCAGCGTCATCGGTGAGTCGGGCAACGCCATCGAAGCCCCGGCCGCCCACCCGGCCCTCCAGCGGCGGGGCTCGAGCATGAAGGACGTACTGCCGCGCGCCGTACTCCGCACCTCCAGCCGCGACCTGGCGCCCTCGGCCGGCGCCCACGCCACTCCGCCGGCTCCTGCGGCGCGCGAATTCGAGGGTGACTTCGACGAATTGCTGGAGGAGGTGGGAGGCTTCGGCCGCTTCCAGTGGCGCATGCTGGCGCTGTTACAGCCCCCGTTTCTGTTCCTCGGCTTCACGCTGCTTAGTCAGTTGTGGCTGGTGCTGGAGCCGGAGCACTGGTGCCGCGTGCCCGAGCTCGACGCTCTCGGCTGGAGCGCCGAACGCGCGCGCAACCTCAGCATCCCGCTGGAGGAGCGCGCCGGGCAGCAGCAGTTCTCGCGGTGCGAGCGGTACGACGTCAACTTCAGCGCGCTGGAGGACCCAGCCAGCTGGAGGCCGGACGAGGCAACGCCGCGCGTCGCCTGCCGCCACGGCTGGCACTATGACTTCGCGCTCATCTACCCGACCATCGTGTCGGACCAGGACTGGGTGTGCGACTCCGCCTGGAAGCCGACGCTGGCCACTGCGCTGTTCTTCGTCGGGTCTGTGGTGGGCACGCTGCTTTTCGGCGCCGTTTCAGACCGCTTCGGCCGGCTGCCGGCGCTGGTGGCGGCCAACGTGACCGCCTGCGTGGCCGGCACCGTGTCCGCCTTCACCGCCAGCCTTGCCGCCTTCTCCGCCGCCCGCTTCGTCTTCGGCATGGCCAACAACCTGCAGAGCACGCTGGCGATCGTGTTCCTCAGCGAGTTCGTGGGCGTGCGGTGGCGCGGCCTGGTGGTGAACCTGCCGCTGGCCACCTCCTTCTGCCTGGGCATGACGCTGTTGCCGTGGATCGCCTGGGGCGCCGGGCACTGGCAGTACACGGCGCTGGCCACCTCGCTTCCAATGGCGTTCACGCTGGTCTACCTGGTGGCGCGGATGCCGGAGTCGTGCCGCTGGCTGCAGCAGACCGGCAAGCTGGACCGCGCCATGGCCGAGATGCGCGATATCGCGCGTGAGAATGGCCGCAAGGTGCCCGAAGAGACGTGGAAGCGCTTCGCGGCGGCCGCGCAGCGCAAGCACGAGGAGGAGCTGGCGCGGCCCCCGCCCGGCCTGCGGCGTCTGCTGCGCCACCCGCGCCTGCGCACGCGCATGCTGGTGCTCATGTTCAGCACCATGATCCTGCTGCTGCTGTTCGACCTGACGTCGCGCAACACCGACTTCGACGTGGACATCTACACGGCGCAGACACTGCTGGCCGTGTCGGAGGCGCCGGCCGACCTGTTCACCTGGCTGCTGGTCGATACGCTGGGCCGTCGCTGGACCATCACCGTGTTCACAGCGCTTACCAGCGGCGCCGGCCTGGCGCTGGCGGCACTCCTGCACGTCGGCACGGCCGCCGCCGCCTCCACCGCCACCGCCGTCCTCTGCCGTTTCTGCACCACCATCGCCGTCAACGTGCTGATGACTCTCAGCATGGAGCTTATCCCGACGGACGTGCGCTCGCGCGCCTTCTCGCTGACTCAGGTGGCCGGCCACATGGGCGCCATACTGAGCCCGCTGATTCTCTACCTGGAGCGGGTGGCGCGCGGCCTGCCGCAGCTGGTGCTGGCGGTGCTGGCGCTGCTCGGCGCCGTCAGCGTCAGCTTCCTGCCGGAGACGCGCGGCCTGCCGCTGCCCGACACGCTGGAGGAGGGAGAGAAGTTCGGCGCCGACCAGCGCTGGTGCCAGTGCTACTGTGGCAGCCCGACAGCGGAGGTGGCGGCGGCGGAGGACAGGGCGGAGGAGCGTGGGCAGGACAACCCAGCGCTGGATGTCACCGCGGAGGCGGTGACGCAGTTCTGAGGACTAGCGGCGTGGTGAGACGGGGAGACGTTGGTGACCCGTCTCGGGTGTTGCATGAATGGTTTAACGATGCCGGTCACTGGCTGCCCACTGGCTGTTTTCTCCACATTTCGTGAGATGTGAGAACGCCCGTCAGACAGCCCGCCATTGTTCTCGACCGCGCGACAGCGGTTGTCAGGCTGTCAGCATCAGAGCGTGGCGAGACGCCATCAAGTGTCCTGCGATGGGTGTGACCGTGGCGTGATCAGTGAGCCGGTGACCCGGCGCCGTGTTGTGCAGCGGAACAGGACCTCATCTGCACGTGGTGCAATCAGTTAAGGGTGCCGGTCTGCATACCAATAGAGGCGCGATGATGCTTGAGGCGCGGGTGACGTGCTATCCCGCATGCAATAGCAGCAGCTGCGCGTCTCTGTACACTGGGCAGACAAGATGTCCCACCAGTCTTGTGGGTGGTGCTGTGGCCGGGTCCGACTGTGACTCATGACAGGCGTACTGAACTGTGATGTATTTCTACCTTACTTGGTTGATCTGAGCGTGACTTTTATGGAATGTTGTTTGTTTTATTTAGTGAAATGCACGTACCCAGGTGTTCGAAAAATAAACATATGTGCTCAGTTTCATAAACGCATGCCTCTTTATCTTCCACGATGACCTCGGCCCCCAAGAATCGTGGAGACATGGTAAAAGTTTGTCCACCATCGATCGAAAATAGGTGTGCCATGAAACATGTGTCACATATTTGGGCTTAAAGCAAACATCAGCATGGTCTCGTTTGCTTGGCAAATTATATTGCTGTCAAGTCACCGTTTCGTGCTTTGTTTCAGGCGTGGTATTTAACAAACATGTTTTTGCTCCTATGCGTTTATCTTCCTTTCTTTGTTAAGACAAAAATGTTGCGTCATAGCCTACTGATGCTAGGTCTAGGGCGCTAGGGCTGGGGAAAGTGAAATCCAAATTTTTGGTCGACTTACTTCTTTTAATTTACCGTAGTTTTCTTTTAGTTCGATATACAGGACGCCTTTTGAGTGTAGCTGACTGCGCAACACGACCCAGCATTTGATAATATCATTTGTAAGCCTAGCGACGAAACAACTTGCACGTTCAATATAGCATAACAATTAGCCAGAAAACAGCGTAACCTCGAAGCGCTTACTAGCAATTCTACAAAGGAATCTTAGGCGAAAGCTGCTGTACTTATGTCCTCCATCCATAACCATTTAGGCATAATGTTCGGAGAAGCATCGCCATCACGTTGAGAGAAGAAATCAAACTTGGTACGGCACCTGGGCAGGAGTGCGGCTTCCTACGCCCGTACCTGCCGGAGCACCCACGCAGGCTGACTGAGCGGGCACCCAAAGAAGACTGGAGAGTACCCTCAGCCTAAAACATACCCATGAGTTATCACGAGGAACTGAGTGTCCAGACAGACTCACAGCAGACGCAGCAGACACCAAAAACAGCACGTTTAATGAATATGTTAACCATTTTGCTTTGCGTCTGGCATTGGGTGGGGCAACGTTAATTTGACATATTTATTGCAGACTTCGATGAGGAATCACTCCAACGAGACGGTGCCACTCCTGATTGCCAAGTACATTGTCAACCTTTATGCGCTCTATCTTTGCGTATTTTTTTCGGCCGCCTCCTCGTCTAAGAGTTCGCACTGCAGCGTCGCCTCGATCTGCCGTTTCTGCTGCCTGATGGCGTCCTCGAATAACGACGCAACACGCATGATCCTCTCACCGTGAACGAGAGCAGCTGCCGACCGGGATTTAGCAGCCACGATCCAGAGATTGTGCGAGCTTCCTCATGGACCTCTGGCCGCGGCAGGGCACTGGGTCAGGGCCGAGAGCGGCGGTTTCGTCACAGCCGCGTCAAGAGTCGCCCCTGACTGACCTTGCCCGGCCGCTGTTCGGCGGAGCAGACCAAACCGCCGCTGAACCGTGAATACCTGCCGCCGATGGGATGGAAGGTTACGCCCTCGATGCGTCAGCACGTGGTTGTCTGCTCACCGCCCAGGTAAGGCGTGCAAGCGTGAGTGCCTGCTGTCCACAAGGCCGCCGCTCGTACTGCGGCCTTCACAGGCGGTTCAGGTTTGATATGCGAGTTCATCTCAGCTGTTCCACACTTCCCGTGTAGATCATTCCCATTAGTCGTTTATATTCGAGCATCGGCGAAATTGTAACTGCACACTAATTAATAGCTTTTGGTGAATACTTATGTACGTACTTTTTTAATCTTTCAAAAGGACAGTGTTCAGGCCAAGGCATACGCTGAGCTTCATGATATTCCCTCCGGACGGACCCTAGTTTTCTCAAAACAGAGAACTTTGGTGTTTATGCTTTTTTGTTTCAGTGGCTTTGGTGATTGTGGTTAAATACTGATGGAGCCAACACAAGCATAAGGGATGGAGGCAAGGCCCTTCCAGAGATACATATCTTCCCCCAACAACCTCAGGCAGCCAACCATAATCCTGTTTAGCGCAGTTCGCCACGCTGTAACGAAGCAGACGGAGTTTTACTTCGCTATTTAGCTTAGTATCAAACTTAGTGACCGCCAGAACACGTCCGAAACATCCGACTTACACGGGAATACTGGGACGATTTTTCCTGCGATGGGGTTGCAGGGCTCTCGAGTCGTGGCCGGCGTCGGGGACCTGAGACGGCGGGCCTAAGACTTCCTATGACTCCCTCAGAGTCAAAGGTGCTCCCTCTGACTCTGAGAACCCTGTCGTAACAGGGAGGCCGGCCTGGTCTACGGGCCGAGCCAGTCGCAGTCCTGCAGCAGCCAGAGCTCAGTCCTGCCATCTATGTGTTTGTGTTGTGCGGTGTGGTATGTATGCATTGTGAAAAGACACGTCACTGCTCTGTTGTGAGTTAGTTTCACTTGAAGGTGAATAAACTGAAGCGGATTAACGTAGCGAAGTTAGCCTTTTTTTGTGTTGCAACAGACGGTACTGACTGGCCTCAGTCTGGAGTAACTCTTAGCCTCACCTGTTACTTCATGTCCGTCAAGTTAAAACCAACAACACTTTGATTTTCGGAGAGCAGAGCTGAGATGAGTTTACCAAGTGTTCTTTCACCATCGGTGTAAATACAAAAATACATTAATGCTTGTTACCCCAGACTGAATTTCTTGCCAATTTTTCAATACTTATCAGTAGAGTGTAAAAATTTTCAAGCACATTTCGCACATGAAAACTCCACTAGCACAAGCAACCGATATCATAGCTACAGCAGGAACGCCAAACGGAGGAAAAAACGACGTGACAACTTTAGCTTGAACTTTTACATGTAAGCTGCATTCACCCGAGCATCGACATCTCGGTTTACATCTACGTGTTGCTCTGCATGAAACTTTTGGAAAGAGCATCACTGGATGACATATGGTCCGTTAGCTTTTCAATGAACATGTATGCTATGCCGATTTGAAACATTGACATAGAAATTAATGTGACAGGCACCACAGACAAAAAGAGACGATGCCTTTGACGAAACAGGTACCACTCACGAAAGGGATAATGCTTTTCCCGGTAAAACTGATGGAATTGCTCCTGCGGGAAATATGCTAAACACGTCCAGTTGATCGAAAAGTTGCGAAGGTATTTGTAATATATTATACGCATTCTGAAAAAGGCATCTCGCACTCCACAGCTGTTTCAGCGCATTGTCTTGTGCTGTGTCGCTGACGCTCATATACCTGTTCCGTCGCACCAATCCGTCGGTGCCTTGATTGGACAGCGCTGTTGCCTAGCAACGCCGAGTTGTTTACGTGAACAGCTGTGGTTGGTCTGGCGCGGTCGTCGGTGTCAGTCGGTGTGCTTGTTAGAGTCGCGGGGGCGCTGCAGAGCTGGTGCAGATGTGGTGGTGACAGAGAGGTGGTGGTGAGAGGTGTACGTGTGGTGAACGTTTACGCGTTTTTTTTTTTATTTGCCGATACCGGTTGCACATTAGCTGGGTAGGACGCATTAGTTTGCATCCTTGAACGACTGGCAGCAAAGCGCACGGACCTGCGCGCAGCCGGTCTCTGTCTGTTCATTTTTACGACGCTGGGATGACGCCTGCTGTCAACTTCAAGGAGTCACTTGGTGGCATCGCGCCCCTGGAAATGTGCTGGCATCGATATGGGAGTGTGTGAAGGCTGACGTATCTTCAGACTTCATCTATGTCTTCTCCAAGGTCGCCTAGGCCGTCCTCGAAGCATCGCGGGTCAGAGGCCAGTTCGAAGCAGAGGAAGAAGAGGCCAGTGCCTAGCACGCGGAGCATATTTGCCCGGAGCAATTATTCTGTGGCTAGCCATCGATCGTCGAAATTTGCGAAGTCGTCAGGCAGAGTAGCCCGAAGCGTTTTGACCACAACACAACCACAACCGACCCATAGAGGTCTTCGCATCATCAGTGAACTAGGTGAAGATGTCACGCCCTTGCCGCTGCGTGAGCGGGATAGTCCCCCGAAAGTCACACACAGCGTACTTTTCGGTCTTGGAGAGGGAAGCGAAGCGGGCTCCGAATGGAGTCCAAGAACATCTACGTACACCCACACCGCGACGGACAAACGAGGGGGTACAGTCGGGACAGCGCTGGGAAAACGCTCTACAATGCTTTCGGGATTTTCCCAGACGTACGTAGTTGAAGACAAAGAGTCCGAATTAGCTGGTGGTATTGCATCCGCTCACACCGCATACCATTCATTGTATGCCGATTCCGATGAAGAGGTAATTCAAGATCTGGACCGGCCAGTGATTTGTAACTTAACAGAAACTGAAACGATTAATTTGTTTGATCTGCCCAGTACCTGCGTCCCCGAAGACGACCAGCGTGTTCCTGAGATAGAGATCAGGAACGCCACCTATGACGAGCTGTGTAAATCTCGGGTGGGCAACAGCCGGTATACCGAGCGCGCAATGCAGACCATCAACGAACCGTTAAAAATGAAGGAAACCCAGGCGTCCCAAGCCGAGAAGGCGGATCAGTGTGACTTCGCGGCCGTGTGGGACATGTTTGATGAATACCTGAAGCTTGAACCGAAAGAGGAGGAGGAAGAAGAGGAGGACCCACTCGCTGATGATGCTGGTGGGGGATTGATGCGCCCGGGAAGCGGTCAGGATTCGTTACAGAGCGACAACACAAAGAGCCTGTCAGCGCGGACGGAGGATGACGACGATGCAGCCGAGCTCCAGTCGCTGGAAACGCTTCCCAACGCGCAGGAGAAGACGTTTATTATGGAAAAGGCCCTGTGCATGAACACGTACCAGCAGCGGCTGGCGCAGTTCCGGCGGATGGCGACGGCGCGGCCAGAGTCGGCGCCGCTGCAGGGGGAGGAGCGCAGCCAGTCGGTGGTGACGGTGGCGCCGCACCTGCAGCAGCTCTGGATGTACCGATGCGCGGAGACGGCCGGTTGTCGCGTCACATGTGTTCGCTGGAACAGGGCCAACCCGGACCTGCTAGCCGTCACCTACGCCACGCTCGCCATCGGCGATCACCCGGGCCTGGTGTGCTGCTGGTCACCCAAGAATCCAGACCATCCGGCTCTGATATACCGGCCGCCGACCGGCGCCACGTGCTGCGACTTCTCCGAGCACAACGCCGCCCTACTGGCGGTCGGCTGCTACGACGGCTCCCTGGCGTTGTACAGCACCAGCCAGAAGACGCCGAGGCCCGTGTCCGACTGCTTCAGGAGCACCGACAAGCACATGGGCGCAGTGTGGGACGTGCAGTTCGTGATGAAGGACCAGGGCGTGGGCGAGGCGCAGCGCGAGGTGCTCATGACCATCTCGGAGGACGGCCGCGTGCTGCAATGGACCACGCGCCAGGGCCTGCAAAACGTGCCTGTGATGACGATGCGCCGCGACCCCAGCTTCTCCAACAAGAAGGAGACGCGGACGCGCAAGTCGGAGGCGTTCATCTCGCGCTTCGCCGTAGGCATGCATTTCAGCTTCAACCCGACCAACTCGGCTCAGTACCTGGTGGCCACGGAGGCGGGCTCAGTGCACCGATGCTCCACCTCGCACTCAGACCAGTACCTCTTCACGTACTCCGGCCACATGGGACCTGTGTACCGCGTGCACTGGTCGCCGTTTGTGCCGCACGTGCTACTCACGTGCTCAGCCGACTGGAGTTTCCGCGTGTGGCACGTGGACCACAAGACAGCCGTGCTCAGCGTGCCCAGCGCCAGCAAGTCGGCCATCAACGACATCCAGTGGAGCCCCGTGTGCGCCACGCAGCTGGCGCTCTGCACCGACCGCGAGGTGGAGGTCTGGGACCTGGCCGTCAGCGCGCTGGACCCGCTGATTGTGCACCCGAGCGTATCTCGCGCCGCCGCCAACACGACGCTGACGTTCGGCGACCAGGGCGCCTGCCTGCTGATCGGCGACACCAACGGCGGCGTCACCGTCTACCAGATGGAGAGTCTGCCGGAGCCGGAGCCGGACCAGGCGGAGAAGCTGGAGGCCGTGGTGGAGACGCAGCTGTCACGCCTGCTCAGCACCCAGCAGGAGGAGGAGGAAACGGAGGAGGAGGCGGCGGCCGAAGCCAAGGCGGATTAAGTCGCTCTCCATGAGGAGGATTGCCCAAGACGAGGTCTGGGAGGCCGGAGTTCGGGCTCTGCGGTTCATTCGCGCCTAGTTTTCTGAGGGTGCTGGCTGTCAGTCGAAAGATGTATTGTTGTTAGAATTAGTGCTGGGTGTAGGGGCGACGGTGCAAATACACACGCCGCGTTATGCTTGCAATGCACTGTCTTCAGACGCCATGATAACTGATGTTGAGAAAACAGGTTAGCATACATAGTATGGCTGCCACTACCAAATAATGTCTGGACCACCCGTCGCATGCATTTGTGAGTTGCTACAGCAATGCTCACACCTATCTGGATTTGGTGAGCATGAAGAAATTATGCCTTGCTCCCAGTATCTAAACACTGCACACCAACGTGCAAAAGAGTGGCTTGAACAATGATCATGGGCAAAGAGCTTTTGCTGTAAACATGCTGAAAATATGAGGCCGCAGTGTGCTGAAGTGATCGCGCCATTCGAAGAACGCCTGCTAATTAATGCAGCTGTACGTGTGTTTGCCGCATCACATCGTATATTTACGTGTGTTTGCCGCAACACCGATATTTTCACGCGAGTTGAAGGAAATGTTTCACATTTTGAAGATATTGAGGCACGCATCAGATAGGATGAAACAGGCTCTTTTATAACTATTGACACGCTGTTTAAGTGGAAAAGACTGCTCTAGCCCGCGCAATTCACTGTTTAGTAAATATGTTACTCAATGCGTCATGGTTTGATTACGTCATCGAACCTATGCAGCATTGATTGGGAGCCAATTGACGGCCGTGTTATCTGGAAATCGCGCTCTCGAACGCCATGTATGAACGCCTTGACAATCATATTTTACCTGGCCTTGGTCGTCGCATAGCTTATGGAATGCCAGGATTTGCATGGCCTTATTATGACATTATGAATGCCACACAGACCTTAAAATATTCTCCCCGATAAACCTTCCCCATTTTCGCGGGCATGGGGTTCAGAAATTAGAGGGGCTTAGGTCTGCGTAGGGCGCGCAGAATTCCAACATCGCGTGATCCGTTCACCTACGCTTGAAAACCCGAAGAAGCGCTGGGCGTTTGCGTAGAACGATAGCCCTTTCCAGCACAGACTAGGGGTGCCTTGCGTGTGTGTCCAGACTCGGCTCTTGCACTGAAAGTCTGCAGCTTCTGAGTGTTTGCGAGCCGCCCTCTTCGTGAACTGCTGACTGGAGGCGCACACTTCACCATGTTGGGCTTGTGCTGAGATCGCAAGAGAAGATCCGGGCACCCTGGAGCTTGTCAAGTTATTTAGGATGGAACCGTTGATTTTTTTCTTGGAAAATGCATCGTTCCTGGAAAGTTTAGTATCACGAATATTGTGAACAGACTCCGCATTCCATGATGTTCTCCGGCAAAATCTTAAGTAAGATGCTGCGTCGTAGAAGATTCTTTGAGCTTATTTATAACAGATCCAAGATGCATACAAATTCAGGGCCTGGCGACTCCAAAAGGTCGTTTGGCTTATGGTGAGTATCTCATTTAGGGCGCATCAAGCATGGTCAGCATCAGGCTGCGATGTTTCCGATATTTAAGGAGCCATGGAAGAGACCAACAGCTGTAAAATAAGGGCCTGGGCTGAAAGCAGCGTTTCAACGTTGAGCTCAGCTGGCTGCATAAAGCCCGACCCCGCGTGGTCCCCGTGAAGACCAGTGTATACCCAATGTAATCCGTACACAGGCTGAAATATAATTTTTCCTGAGTTTGTCCACGTCTAAGGGTGTGATTGAGGAATAGCGATGCTTTCAACACTGCGGAGTCCACATATATTAATTTGTGATTACTCGTCACCGGATGAGATGGAGTATGTGATGACATACGTGGCGACAGCCTTAATTTTATGTTTCATTTGCTGGGGTCTACCCTTTTTGCCTGAGCATAACAATTGTATTTCCTGTGCTGAACTCTTCAGTTTTGGGTATGATTCGGGGAACAAGTTTTGTTGGGGATACGATTTGGCAGATATAATTCGGCTGGGGAAATCATTTCCTGTTCAGCCTCCGAAATTTTGGAAAAAGTGGGTAAAATCTAGAGAAACCTGTTTTTTGGCATAGTTGAGGGCACATAGAGCCATTTTTACTGTTCAACCCCGAAATCATTTCGCGAAACTCCGCCGCTGACCCCATCCATCACTCCCACGCCGGGAGTTCCTCCTGCTCCTCTAGACTGCAAGCGACCGTAGCGCCATAGCGGTCACCAGCGGAACTAGCTATGGAACGCGCTCCGACGGCGTGCCGGCTGTGCGCCGTGCCGAGTAACCTACCGAACACCTTTATATTGGGATAGTTTAATTTTCCTTTACTTGGGGACTGAAATTCAACATAGACCATGTCAGAATATATTTTTTTCTTCTTCGCCGGATGAAAGCGGACTTTGTGGTCCGTATCTCTCCGTCATCTGGAAAGCCAGGCAAGGTCAGGTGGACGACGGCGCGGTCGAATACTCGCGTGCACCACAGCGTCGCGAGTATCACAGCATCACATCAATTTTAACGGCTTGTAGTGCACCGATGAGGTATGATAAGCGTATGTCGACCGCCTTTCCATCTTCAGAGCAGTGTATTGTAGCAGAGAATGAAACGGTTCTGAACAGCCATACTCTTGAGTCATGCAGCCTGCCCGGCACTAACACATCAGTCGGCGCGCCTCGATCCATGTGAAATCAGGTCCACTGATCAGGCCGTGTGTCAATGCCTCACTTCGCCTAACAACTGCCTTCCGATCCACCCACCCGTGGCGGGGTGGGTTCCAGTCGCTTCAGGTCGCGCCAAAAGAGGTGAGGTGACGTCAAAGGGCAGGACGGACCGTGCCGAGGATTACCGCATGGTAAACTTACGCCGCCGAAACCTGCCGTTTCCGTGGAATGGTGTGATCGGAAAGTAGGGGTTAGGACCTCAGGAGCGGATCCAGAGGGGGTGGCCACGGGGCCCTCCCCCCATGGGCCCCGAAAGGGCCCATAGGGTCCGAAGGGCCCATTGTCTACCGAACAGATGCAGTTTCTTTTTTAACACAAAACGAAACAAAATTGGACATCTTTGAATTTACTGGCCACCAAGGACAGTTGCAAAAGAAAGTGAAAGGACAACGAGGAATAAGAAAAAGCTTAAATGATTGAAAAGTCAGTTATTGGAAATTTTAAGCCTTATTGTGCTGACCAGTCGCCCTATGCTGTTTTCGGGGGACTCATATGGTCACTTATAGGGTCATTCCGATCGTTAAGGAGCCTTCCATGTTGCCCTTGACTTCTTTGCGTTTGCTCAGAGGGCCCTGCGCTGTTGCTGTGCCCTTCCTGCCAGCGTGTCGGGTCGCGCTTGTCAATCAGGGGTCTTCCACGTATTATTTTTACTCGCCGAAAAGGCTCTGTGGGTTATATCCGGGGCCCCGTATGTTAACCTGCCGGGGTATTCTCGATTGCTCGGAGGACCTTTACGTTGGTCTTGGCTCACCTACCGACATACTCGCGATATGCTCATGGACCCTCTGCATTGGTCTATAGCGTTTCCATTTTCTGTCACTTGCTTAGTGCCCTACGCTCTTGTCGAGCGCCCATCTGTTAGCCTGTTTATGTACACTCGGTCAGTCGGGACCCTTCAAATTGGGTCTTGGGTACATTATGTTTGACTGAAAAGCCCTGCACACTTGCCGGGGCCAAATCTGTTAACCTGCCCCGGCATACTGGATTGTTTGGGGGCCCTGTGCATGGGGTATTTTAATGCAGGACCCTACGCTCTTGTCAGGGCCATCTGACGGCCTGCTCGGATACGCTCGATCTTTTGGGGGCCCTCCGCACGAGGTCTTGGGCGCATTTCATTTGCATGTTCCTCATTTTGTATAGTTTTGTACAAAATGACCTTCATTTGTGTATTTTATCTGTATGTAACAAGCACCATACGGAAAAGAAAACAGGGTCCCTTCACAGCGCTTGCCAAACGGCGTAAAATGACATAACAAAGCTAAGGTGACCTACGACACGCTTTATTTGGCGCATTTCACCTAGCCTGGTCTCGAATGAGCTGATCTTTCTGCTTTTTACAGAGGCGGTTCTCCGCGCCGTATCATAAGATGGAGTACAGTAGTACAAGGTAAGTCACTTCTAAAACCTTCTGCCGAGAACGAATTCGGCGACGCTCCTGATCGCATTAGCCGACCTGCACCTCAACAAATAAATAATTTCTGGTGACTGTTATGTCTGGGCCTTCCTCATTGTGGTGCCGCCTTCTGACAACACCTCGCTCAGTCCGTGGGCTACTTACGATCAACCATCCGCCACGCCGGCCGGCCACGCGTGAACACAACGCTGCTCGCGGCCCCACCGGGTCGGGCCGTGTGACCGCTGCGGTGCGTATTCAGCAGAGCGGCGCGTATTCATTGCATTGTCGGGCTCACACCGAACGCATAGCAACGGCTAAAAGCCGAAAACAACAGGGGCTTATAAAATATGGCTGTTTTCGAATTTCACAAAAGGGTGTACAAACGCGGAAAACTCAACGACTGAGAGTTTCAGCAACATATGTTGAGTGACGCTTAAATGATTCCAGCTGAGCGTTCGAAATGGCTTTGAGACACCTTGTCTTTCGGCGAGGATTAAAAACCTCTGCAAATACAAAACACGGATCCTGGAAGGCCTCATGGTTACGTTTGGAAGTGAACCATGGGTTCTAGGGGACCTGCTAAATTTTATATCCTAGAATAATTATCAAGTTCCGGTTGAGATAATCCATGAGCCCCCAAAATCCATAAACCAAAGCTATATTAACCTGAAATCCAGAAAGACCTGCAAGCGATGATTGAGGGCTAGAGTACAGCGATAATGCCCGCCTTGAACCGTCTGAAGTGTAAGACGGGAGGCTGAGGATTCCGGTCTTCCCGGACACGTTCAGACAGTCTGTCACTTCCCCGACAAGTCGCATTGCCCTCCAAGGCGTGGTCACGCCTCTGGGTTTCAAAGTGTCGCATCATATTTTGATGGGAGCCTTCATGTTAAACGGCATCCATCGCCTCCCGACCACCCGGATTAAAGACAGTGTACTACATTTGAAAATATTGAAGCAAACATCAGATATTGAAACCCAGTGACATGTCACATGCGATGAAAGACAATGCGGGACGGCAATGCACATTGTTCCAATGCAATTCTACTAATACAATACAATCGCCGTGCAGTGCGATGCCATCGCGCTTTCTGAACTGCGAGTGTGATAAGGTGCAAACTCTGGAAAATCAAAGGTATGCGCCAAATCGTCAGGCATCCATCCACAAAGGAGCTTTTCTGCGTGTGGCGTGCCATGTCAGACCGAACGTTAAAGCATTCAATCTGCTCGCGCTAGAGTGCCAGGCCAGCTTGAGTTCAGCAGATCACGCGATACCAATAACGGGGAGCGGCGCAACCGGATCTTAATTGTGTCTGAGAAGTCGGCTTTGTCGACGGCAGATATTAGCCTGGAAGCCGCTGGGAAGGTGACGTCCAATTCCTGACGCAATCCCATGGCAGAGGGATAAGTTAAGTGG